TTGCATAAGAAAGATAGCAGAATCAGCATGTGTTTTGCAGCAGCACCCAGTGGATTGTTCACTGCGTATAACCAATCGCTGATTAGTCAAGGCAATAGTTGTTCGTGGTCCACAACAATCCGAGCAGCCCTGTTTGCATTCATAGTATTTGAGCACGTCTTCACTAGGAACCACAGAAAACGTGTTTGCAAAATGTTCTCCACTTGGTTGAGCCACGTTTGGTGCCCTAACAAACAAATTTTAAATCATACGCCTAGAACTCATTTCATTCCTACTTACATTTTAATTTTTGAACGATAATCCGAAGGCGAATAACGTTTATGCTACTTAATTCCACAATGAGATAAAATTACACAGATTCTAGCATAAAGAATTAAAATTAGAAAGAGGGCATAATAAAAATTGCAAGTTAAATTTCAAAATCTCAAATTCAATAACAATGACAGCAGTTATTTAGTTAGCTATTGGAAACCCAGTCAGCTACTATAAGAACAAAACATATTTTAGGGCGGCACTGAGGATATATATATTTTTAATATTTTTGCTTATTTAGATAGTTTGTTAGCATAAGAGGTTCTTATTTAGTTATGCATGATAGTTTAAAAAACAGAAAAATACCTACCGACGCTGTCTATCTTGCGTAGATGCTTACAAGACAAAGCTCTAGGACCGCTTTAGCAATGATAATTTAACCTAGATCCTTAAAAACTATACGTATTATTATCTTATTCTACTCAATCATCATTTATTTTGTGAGTTAGACCAGTAGAATTTACCCGTGGAGTTAGCGAGTCTATGGGAAATTTCATTTCAGGCTGAATTCAAAAAAGAAAAAAATACCTGCACTTTCCGGAACACCGCGGCTTTAGGGCATCCTACAGCAGTTGCCAACCATTCGGGCACAGGATAAGGAATTCAATTTCTTCATCGAAATTTCACAATGATCTCTTCAGCGTCAACACTTTACATTCACAAACCACCGCTAAGCCTGCTAACCGAATTCTCGGTTATCCGAAAGCAAGAAGTATTCAGTCTAATTCTTATCTCATATATGTATAAGTCCCCCTATGGGTATTTTTTTTTTGGAT